TTGTGTCTGCACACTTCAGTAGTTTCTGTCTCTCCTCAGTAAGACATGGATCATCCTCCACAGCATCACGTCAGGGTCAGCCTCATTTCCCTGGTTACAAACACCGAGCAGGACATGAGCACATGTGAACATTTCATTCATTTCCTGATGCTCATGACGACTGATCGGGTGATCCACCCCAATCGTTGAAACTGTGTCGTTAAACAGATCCGTCCTGCGATCTGCCTTCATTCTCCACAGTTTCTCATGTTATAACTACAAACCTCAGTGTGGTTTATTGGGAGTTAATGTACCAGAACACTGCAAACACTGCATAATTGTAAAAAAAAAATTTAACAAATAAAAAAAAAAAACAGGAGAAGTTGAACTAATTTTGCCCCATCTGGTCAGTACTTTGTAAACCATGTGATGCTGAAGTTTCAGGTTTTAGGACATTTGTGTGTCTCCAAGTTTGTTTATCCAGAGATTTTTTTTATCTATTTTTTTTCTTTGCAAATGTTAAGAAGCTCTAAGCTCCTCTATAATATTTTTATTTTATCTCCAGAGTGCGTAGGTGTGAACATTCTGTGTGTCAAGGTACTGCTGAAATGTTTCTTACCGTGTGGGCGTGTCCTCTGTGACGGCCATCTTGTCGTCCAACTAAAGAGAGCAACACCTCGAACCCAGCCCTTTTATAGGAAGTGAGCTGATAGGAGCCGGAGTTTGATTGGCTGAGGACTAGAAAGTCATAGTAATGGAAAGAATAAAGAACAGGTTACAGGAACGCTCTTATTTTGACAGGGTGCATTCTGGTAACTGTTTGCTTGGTTCTGGTGAGTCTCAAAGCCCACTAATAATAAAGTTCTGAACAGATTTGACTGACTTGAACCAACCTATAATAGACATGTAATCTCTGAGTAATTACATAAAGCATTCAGTGTTAAACATAACGGCCACTTTGGAGCTTTTTTATATCATGTCAGATCACATTAGATCTCACCCTTCAAGTAAGCATTTCTGCTTCTACCCTTTCAAGTTTCGACCCTAAAACTCTAAGGTCAAGGTCATTTTTAATAAAAACAATGCAACTAAATTGCAAATCAGTTATAAAGTCATGTGGGTCATAAATAAAGTTTTCATGAATTACGATGGAAAGAGAAATGTGGGGAATCACATTACATAGTGCATCACATACTGTATGCTGGAATTCCAGCCATTCCAACATTTACCCAACGCCGGTTTTTATCAAACCGCCGTTGATCTTTTCATACCAGTTTGAGCTATGAGGCAGCTTTCTTAACTAATTCAAGCAAGTTATTTTCTGTTACACCTGGCTTATTCTGCAGTTTCATCACTCCTTATGCCTTGAGGTACAATAGGGTTCTACTGGATTCGTAGCGTCTCCACCGTGCGGATGCCAGACGGAAGTTTTACAGCCAAGACTTTGGATGCAGATGTGAGTTGTGTGAGACTGATTTTAGTTTAAAAAAAAACAAAAATGCTTCTCTTTGCCTGGTACCTGAAGACGACAATATTCACCCGCCTCCTGCTGAAATAGTTTCCTCTTCTCTGTTTAGCTGGGTAGTGCAGTGCGGGTGGGTGCAGCTACATTTTGAAAAATCTGTGCAACATCAAATATTGCTAGGATTATTTGTAATACATGAGGCTCTGAAATGTGCTGCAGGACGGTTTATAAAACACTTCAGCAGAGTTCCTCTTATATTGACAATTACGTCTCTGCAACAGAAAGAAGGAGCAGTCCTCCTCATCCACATACACAAAGCCATTGAGAACTTTTTGACTTGTTTTCACATTATTTTTTTTTAGTCAGCTGAGCGAGAGTGATTTCCTCTCTCTGCAATTTTATTAAAAATAGTTTTCTTTTTTACTTCTGTGCCCCAAATTGATCCGTGGCCTTTTTTTTGTCAACATGTTGCAATTAGAGCAAGACAGAACAAACCGGAAGACTTCCAGACTGGCGTGCCAAACCAGAACACTCCAAATTGGAAATATTTTTGTCATAATGCACAGTAGCACATCCCCAATACACCAAACACACCATTTCAGCCTCTAAATACTTCACATCAACAGCCAAACACTCTGGTGGACGGCTGACCAATGCTGTCTCTTCACCTGCTGGCTTTGAAGGTAAGGCTGACCCTTTTAAAGATGATTCCTCAAAATAAGGAATTTTTGTGGGTCAAAAGTCAAAAGCTGCTGCAAAAGAAAAAAACGTGCCATAAAATACACGTGTTTGATCAAATCTGTAGGTATGTGTTTCAAAAACCCAATTTAAATCAAAGTCTTAGGATCTGAAGGCAAGTGAGGAGAGAAGACAGTTTTAATGGCAGGAAACTCATTTGAAGTTAGCACCTTTAGTAATGTGACGGTGTTAATTAAAGACACCTCAGTGGTTCTCTGAGCCGGTGGCTGTCTGTCTTCAACTGATTTAACTTCTCTCGATCAGCACGATTTCCTCCAATGAGAACTTGTGGTCTCATTGGAAGGATGAGACCACAAGTCATGTACCTAAACCATGGTACATTACCGTACCATGGTACATTACCGTACCATGGTTTAGGGGTTAGTTTGGATTTTACAAACAAAATGTTCTGTGAAGAAGGGAGAATGCTTAGATATTGATATTCAAAAGGGAAATTGATATGCGGGAGGCACCATAAAGACAAAAACAAGAGAAAACATCCACAAAAGACATCACATGCATTCTGTTTTACAGTACAACTCCAAATATTAGGAGAAATAACTGAATAAAACAATATCCTACTACTACTACTCATGATATGCTATGATGCTACTACGTCACAATGACCCAAGTCATTGCTCATGATGCTTTAAGTGCATTGTGCTCCCAAAATAACAAGTATATAAAATGAATACATTTCAAACACCTGAAAAGTGGTCTAGTCCAAGCCAGGGAGCTAAAGCTCAGCAGTGACAGCAGGAATGAAGAGTCTACCATGTTGATTTGATCTTAGACCTCATGAAGTGGAAGACAGATGGAAGAAGATCAAACTCATTGTCAAGTGGATTTTCAGGACAGTTACCAATCAGTTGGTTCTCACTCACTTACAGAGCTTATTGATTGTGGAACTGGGCGTGATTTTCTCCAGTTACCTTATTTACCACATTAGTGAGACTCATCAAGCTAGTTTTACTAGTAAGGAAACCAAACCATTCCACACAATATTAAGAAAGAACAGATTCAGTAAAACACTGATGAAATAATCAGGGGCGCAACTACATATTATTCAGGTGGATGCGAAAACATAAATCAGNGAAGCCATGGAAGTGACAGACCTGTGTGTGGAAACTCTGTCAGAGAAAAGGGAAAGCCAAGATCCTGAACCATTGGAGGAGTCTCTGAAGAAACATCTTCAGTGTGGAAAACGATATGACACACTTTGAGCCTCAAGAAGCAACAAAAACTGAAGAGAAGCAAGAAAACCTCTAAAACAAGCAACTAGCAAAAAGTGTCCAGGTAAGTTCTGAACCGTTTCAAGACCTCAAAACACATCTCATGTTTTAGATTAAAAAAATGGGCGGCATCTTCACAAAAAAGAGATTTTAGTTCTTAACCAAGCGTCTCTTTTTGTGAGAGTTTGTTTGTTCTCCCAGTGTTAGTGGGGGTTTTCTCTGGGTGCTCCGGTTCCCTCTAGATTTCCAAAATCATGTAAATTGGGGCTATTGTAAATGTAAATTGTCCTCAAGAAAGTAGCACTAATTTCTGAAAAAGTTGAATTTGCAAACCGTTTGGATTGGAGAAACACAAAAAGAGTAATATCCGGTGAGTGTTGAACTCTCCAAAGGTTGCCCTTTGTCACAAATTTCTAGGAGCCGTCAAGGTGTTGATGGGATCCATTTTGGTGGACTTAGGATCGCGTCTGCAAAAAGGATTTCTTTTTGCAGATGTGATGAAGTCCTATTGACTTCAACTGGCTGTTTCATACTTGGCTGTTTACTGAATGTAACTGTTTAAAAGTCTGTTAAAATAATTTTCAGTTAGTGTCACCACAGTCATATTTAGCTTATGGAAAAAGTGCCCATCACAAAAATCCCCAAAAGTGTGGCTTATAGACAAGTGCAGCATAAATAATAATGCAGTTATAGATAACTACATAGTTATCTATAACTGCATAGATATTTATGTGGGAATAGATATCTGTAATTTAAATGCAAGCTAAGGTAGGACTGTCTGGACTGGCTTCAGTCCAGACGGGAGGCTGTTTTTTATTATTTTACAAAGACTGTTTGAATTTCTGTCAGTAATAAATATTTTTTTGTTGTTTAATTCTAAAAAGGGCAAAGTGAGACAAAACCCCATCACTCCCTGGAATGATGCCAACTAGCTCATCACTGAACACAATGTTGCTCACCTTTTTCACTGGGACAGGAGAGGTTATACTGGTATAGGGGTTAGAGCTGCTGCTGACTGGCTCCTCTGTTGTTAAGTGTGGTAAAAGGTACAGGTGCTTAGATTGTGTCCAGCAGAATTTCTATCAGGCCAATCAGAGAAAAGAAGAAGTTGCAGTGTTTGTTGTTGTGAGTTTTAGACTGCCTGTAGTTTTAGCAATGGCAGTGGAGGAACTGCACGGAGCCATTCAGTGTTGGTCACTTTTCCAAATATTGAACTAACATCAACAGCCAACTTTTTTAACTCTGCGCTTCTCTCTATGCAGTGGAGGATGGTTGTTTACAGAAGGTAACTTCCGGTGAGCTTCAGACCGTCAAACTGGCACATTAACAATCAGACAAAATTTTAAACTTTGCATGCCCACAGGAAGCAATCATTTCTCAATATCAGTGGGTCCAGACCCTGGGTGGGCTGGTTTTTACCATGATAGACGCCCCCTAGCGGTCTGGAGCACTTCTGTTTTGTGAAGCGAGTTTGCAGCATTTGATACTTGCTCTTATTAAACTAAGCTTTTTTTTGTTTTTGTTTTTAGTTGAATGTACCAGGAAGCCAGTGTTTCCTTCAGTCTGTTCACAAGAGAACTAGATGATTAATACTGTATAATTTATTGGACGTACAAGCACAGATGCAGATCTTTGCCAATTTTTTTTCCTTTTTTTTTTTTAGCTCATGTCTTGACAGCAGTCTAGCAGAAACTGAGATTCAGTGAAGTGCTTGCTTGCTGTGACCGACGTGTAAAAACTTGTTGACTCTCAGCTGGAACTCGTCTCCTGTGTGTGTGTCACAGCCACCAGTTAGCTCCAGCATGAGAAAGAAAAACACGCTCAATTAAAGCAAAATGAGTCCATATGAAATTCCTGTTGGGGCTGTGCAGCTCATTACAATATTCTCATCATTTATGCATGCGCCGCAGTGCGCCGCGTTTGAAACGCATGGGAAGCAGATGAAAGCAAAGACAACACATGTTGGTGTGGACGGAGTGCGGAGGCTTCTAGCTCCGCCGCATGTCGGCGGCGGAGAACGGCGGCCGCGTGGCGCACTCACTTGTTTTGGTGCTTGGAGCCCTGCAGGTGCGAGTGGTACTGCGCCACCGAGTTGAGCGTGACGCCGCACACTTCGCAGGTGTAGCTCCGCTTCAGGCCTGCAACCAAACACAAACACACGGAATGAATCAATTCAGGAAACACACTTCTCAGCCTTCATTACGCCGGACTGACACGTCTTAAATCATGATGTGGGAATATGATTTTCACTCTATTGCACGGCACACGGACAAGCCACCCGAACCAGAAAAGCAATTCTGCAAGGGGGTAAAAAAAAAAAAAAAAACAACAAAAAAAAAAAACCGGATGATTGATTTATGCAAATGTATTTTCATCTCGCAGGTGGACTTGCAGTGTCTTTTTCATGATCGCAGGCTGCTGGTGATGGAGTGGAAAAAATCTATTAGAGTTGCACCTACAGCGGATTGAAGACTCCCGGAAATTGCATTTCACAGTTTCATCTGAGAGCATTCGGTTTTGTTTCTCAGCACAGAAATATTTGGATGTAGACTTTTAGGTTGCCACGTTTAAAACACTTTAACAGAACTCTGGTTTGTTTGCCAAGAAAGTCCAACTCGTTTGCGGAGGTGTGCTTTTTTTGTTCAAACTCTGACCAGAAAAGCAAACTCTGTTCCTACTTCCTGTCGTCTTTGTTGTCGTTTTTACCAGTAGTAGCAACCGGCTGTTGATCACATGACTCATGGTGTGAAAAGAGTGTTTCCTTTGCAACTTTGCAATACATCTATTTCAGTACGGCTGAAAAAACCCCACCTAATTAATCCTAGTGAAAAGAAAGTTGTTTTTACCGTGTTTCCATTCAGTAAATTATCTTTGTAATTCCCATTTGTGCAGTTTTATGGTTAATGGAAACATAGATTTACAACATTTATAGGCATTATGTTGGGTCAAGGGCAAAATGCCCTACGGCAAAGAAAACCTACGTTAAAATGGAAGTAGTTTTTTTTTTGTTTCCTAAAGTCAAACCTCTGCTAGTTTCCCCACTTTTTAAACTCCAACAAATGAAAATTGTATCCAGAGTTTCTGCTGTGCCTCAAACATTTTCTCTGTAGGTTCTTTTCTCAGCATGTGTTTCATACAGGAAGGTCTTTGTTGGCACACGACCTCCATCCTCTATTTCCTGCGTAGCCACTCAACAAAAGCAAGACAACAGCTAAAGGGTTAATAAAATTAAACTTTGACTTCCAGCTGAAGCTTTTTTAAAATGGTTAAAGTCCTCTGGGGACATCGACTCGACTCCTCATAAGCTTGGATAAGAATGTAACAATAAAAAACTTTGGTTTACTTTATCTTTATTAAATTTGGTTTATTTGCGCAAAGCAAACAAACAAAATCTGTGATTGAGCTTTATCAGCAACAGGAACTTCATGCCTGACCACAATTCAAACGAACCTGGATCTGTCAGCATTATTGGCGTCCAGAAATGCTAATAAGTTGCTAATTTCCTCTTAATTCAATCACACACCAGCAGCCTTTTCACTGCGATTACAGATGTGTCGAGTGTTGCTGTGAATTGCGAGCAGCCCGCGTAATCGCTGTCGTGTTGCACTAATCTTATTGCGGCATGAATAATGGCCCACTTGATTGCCTTGCTCTCAAAATTAAGTTAGCTTCCCCATTCGCGTGGCTCCCAGCGAAAGGCCGAGAGAAAATAAATGTCACTGTGCTCTCATTGAGTCACATTTCCATATCCTCCTGCGTCTGATAAAACGTTTACAGAATCATGTGTCACTGGAGATTGAGCTGCTGAAATTTAGAAAGGAGGGGCTTTTTTTTTTTCTTCTCTCCTTTATTCTTTCAACGTTTTGGAAGGAGGGGGTGGAAATCTGCATCTAGTAGCAGTTTTCTTCTGAGTCGGCGGTGTCAGCTGTTTTCCCTCTAACATTTTGATAGAGGGCAATATTTCCCCCGGAGAGAGCAGCAGCAATTCCCCCCGCCGATAAGCTTTCACCGTCGGCGCCCCACGCAGTCAGCAGATGACACAAACGTTTTGCAGCAGGTAGCATGGGCGAGCGCTTCGAGCTGCTTTTCAGACTCTTTTCCAAAGGATGAAATGTTACACAGTGGCTCCAGAAATCAGTCAGTGCCATCCACCTGTAGCCGCTGCCGTATGACGACGTGCTGCATGAGCAATGGAGCGCCGGCGGCCCCGGGGCCTTGGCGGGCTCTCCCCTCCATCACCTTTACTTCCTACCCTCTGGGGCGGCGCCGATGAGTCACTGGAAACTCGTTTGTTGAGTTGTGAAATGGAGATGCAGCTCAGGAGGGGAACGCAGGGGAAGAAAAATGGGCTCGCTGGTGTCATTTATATGGATTAGGATGGATTTTTTCTTTTTTTTTCTATATGAAAACTGGAACAGATTGTGGAGCTGATGAATGTGGAAACAAATTTGTTCTGATGTGTTCCATCTTTATTTAATCATGAGCTAAAGTTTGGAAAGAAAGTAGCCTGACTGTAAACTGCAAAAACAAAAAAAAGCATGTTAAAACTGTATAAGATCACAATACATCTTGAAATCAACCCTCCTGTTATGGTTATTTCAGCTGACGCACACACACATTTGTTTTTCTAATCATTTTAAGAATTTTTTAAAATTGATTTCCATTCATTTTAGTAACAGTATTACTGTGTAACCCTAACCAGGCCTGACCTCTCAAATGACCCCACCTGTGTCGGATCGGGTGTCACAGTTATGCTCAGAAACGTCGCATACAGACTTTCAGACAACATTCACAGATGCAGACTTTCTAAGAAGACAAAAATAGATATTTTGCTTTTAACAAAATATCTATTATATACAAGATATTGAAAGTGAATATATAAAATTCCAGCAAACATAAATTTTCCCATAATGAGCGAATGTTTGGAGTGAACGTTCAGACAACGTTTGGTGAACGTAGTCTGAACATTTGCTTGCTAGCTGGGTTGTCATCTTGAAGTGAATGTTAAAGAAACGCTGTTAAATATGTTCTATTTGGTTATCTATCAATGATTAATCATTCAGCAAAGCAATTTTTCACTAGTATTATAATGGCAATCTTCTCTCACACACACGCTTTGCACATAAAGCTAGTTTTGTACATCAATCACACATAACTCTTGTAATAACCTCCTATGCTAAGGTTTTCCACACTGTAGCTGTTCTCCAGATGCTTCTTAATTATTATTTTTTAAGTCGTCCTCCCAGATTAGAGGACTTCAATGTAGGTTGATCAGACTATTATTTTGACCTGAAAGCCTCTGTCCAGCAGAGGGTCACCTTGTTCACAGCAGCTCGTCACCAGGGGAGCAACGAACCACAGAAGATGTTTAAACTTGAGTCGTGTTGCTAGTCTCTGTAAGGAAGGCCATCGGTGGATAATACAGAGACACAAAGGAGGGAAAAGATGAGCGAGGAGAGTCAGAGTGGTGTGACCTGCGACTAATTTCAAAACAGCGACAGAAGTTTGGTCAAAACCAAAGTGTATATAACGTGAATATGTTGCATTTGACCTTCGCAGGTGACTTATTTTAAACCTTTGTAAACAAGAAAATCTGAAAAAAGAGAATTCTCTGACACGTTTTGTTTGAGACAATAAAATATATTTTTTACACATTTTCTGAAAATGGCATATTTATATTTCAAACTTACAAAATTAAGTGTAGTGATTAACCATGACTAGTGTGATAAATCAGATTAATTTTTTAAATCAACTGACAGCAATACTTATAACTGAACTTGTTACACAGTTAAAATCACTTTGTGTTACTTGAACAAACAATAAATACAATGTTTTATTGCTATGTTTATTCTATAACTTTGCTTCTTAGGATCTTAAAGCTAATTCCTGATGAGGTCTGGATGTTTCAGCTGTACATGGGGTTGCTAGGTTAAGAATCCTTATTTAAGCTGCAACAGCCTGACTATCTTGTTTTCGCTCAGTTAATTGAGAGCTATTAAGTTAGCGGTTTGCAGGGAGCGCGTTGGCAGTGTGACTGATCAACAGTGCACTCCTCCTGGTGGACTGTTTCTAAAGGTGGTGTTGGGCCGAACCTCATGCTAAATGAGCCAGTTGCCATCTGGCCCATTCACAGGCTGGAAGCTGAACCCGCTCCTGCCACGGCTGCAGCGGGGCGCCGCGGCTGAAAGGGCGCCCCAGCTGAAAGGGCGCCCCGGCTGAAAGGGCGCACACTAAATCCCAATGTGGACCAAGCAATGCGTTTGGCTGAATCACAAGAGGGAGATGTTTTAAAGTAGACCGTATAGCATGAAATGGACTTCCATGATGAAATCATCGCTCAAAAGTGTTTTCATCCCCTTGAAGAAATAAAACGGTCGCACTCGCCAAATCCCAGATATGATCGGTCTCTGAATTTGTGCAGGAAGCAAAGATTAAATATCCCGAAGCGGTCGAGCATTAGCCGGGAGCATCTCTGAATCGAGAGTCAGATTGAAAAGCCGTCATCCTTTCTTTCTTTAGAAAGAGGACCTTGATAAGCTCAGCGCAATTTCCCCATCTCCGAGTCTGCCACGGAGGCTATAGATCTATTTTTATTGTCACAGGGAGCGCTGAATATAAAGCACGGCCGTGAGCAACAGCTTGATAACTGCAACTTGTGAGCTTCGACGGCAGCTCTGAGAAGGTGAAAAACAGAGCGCTAAATCATGTCTGCCACGACCACGTCTCCAATTAACAGCTGTGATGGGCTAGAAGGAACCCGGCACGTCTGCTGGGATGTTTGGCAGAGTGAGGACTGACCTCAGCTGCCTCAAGAGAGAGAACGGATAAAATGAGGAAACACACTTCAGTTCACAACCACCTGAGAAAGTACAAAACACCGAGGGACGGTATAGTTGCTAGGACACTGATCCATGACGACACGGCTGATAGGGTTCAGACGGTGTGTAATGACTCTGGTCTTTAATGTTGTCAAGAGGCCAGTTTAGATTTGTGAGTCAGGCTGAGTTATGGTAAATGTCCCGTAATTGTAAAGCTTCATTCACTCACCTATTCACACATTCACACACTGATTTTTGGCGCGCTGCGGCGTTGTAGCCACAGCTGTGAGGCGTTTGTCAGAAAACTGTAGTAAAACCGA